ATTGACTCATAAGGAGCCTTGGTGTCACAGTGGTTAAGTGCTTGGATACAAGCCAAAAGGTTAATACTTTGAATTCACCAGATGCTCCACAGGAGAAAGAAATAGTAGTAGTAGGTACTAATTAACCAGTAGTAATGGCAGTAGCTCTGGTGGCATAGTACCTAAGGGATTTGACTGCTAACCAGAAGGCTGGTGGTTCAAACCCACTAGCCATTCCTCAGAAGGAAGATTGAGCAATCTACTTCCATAGAGATACCATCTTGGAAACCCAAAGAGGGGTCACTATGAGTTGAATTGACTCCAGGGCAGTGAGTTTGGTTTTGGTTTCTGGAATGGTAGTAGCTAAGGAGAAGTACATAAAGATTTGACTGCTAACTGGAAGGTTGGTTGTTCAAACCAATGTACCACCATGAAAACCCAATGGGAGTGGCTATGAGTCAGAATTAACTCGATGGGAGTTTTTTTTTTTTTTTTTTTTTTTAATTAGTAGTAGCTATGTTTTTATATCAGACTTCAATTTTTTAAGTTTTTTTTTTCTTCCATTAGGTCATTTTTGTCATCATTAAGTCATTTTTTGTCACCATAGTAATCTTTTGAAGTAGGTTTAATGCCCAGTTAATTTTACAAAGCAGAAACAGGTACTGTGAGATTTGTTATTTAGTCTTATTTATTTTAATCTTAACCATTATATTATATGGACTCTTAATAATTACATATTTAAGCACAGATATAAAGCACAAAATACATAAATACATTTACAACCTTCTATTATCTAAGGTTGTTAAGAATGAGATTCTGAAATTTTATTTCTGTCCACACTGAATCCAGTGGAGATAGCAATGTGTCACAATATTTATCTTAGAATCTTATTTATAGTAATCTGAACTAATGATAACATAATAATTGGACAAATAAATATTAAAGGGAGATGTAATCATATTTTCATTAAAATATTTATAAAACAGCAAGCTCTGATCTTAAGTTAGGATTTTGTTGTTTCAAGGACATTGACGAGCACTTATGAAAATTCAGACAAAGGGTAGGAATTATAGTACTCACAAACATCCTCAGGATCATAGGCTGTTCCTTCTTGAACTTGTACAATTATAAACCAATCAGCTTAACCTTGACACATTTTAGAATTCTGGAAGAAAGCATTAAGTACTTTGCAGTTCTAAGGCCAGAGTATTGGTCAGCATTAAGCTTGACCTTGTAGAGAGAAGATTATACCAGATCAATTTTATTATCTTCTATGATAGAGTGACAATCCTTAAAGGAAAAAAGAAACAGACTTTCATTTTCTTACATTTGAGTTAGATTTCTATTTTCAACCTTTAACCTGATTAGTAATTAAGTCCAAAGTTTTATGTATCATCCTCCCAAGATTCTCTGGGGGCTCTCCCAGAGGCTGCCTAAGGGTTTGTGGATACAAGGACAGTGATTATGGGCCTCTAGCCTCACCTCCCTGGTGTCAAGAACACGATCTCTGCTTTTATTTGTTTTACATTTTTGACATAAATTGTGTTTGAAGAAAGAATATCTCTATTTCAAAAGTGGAAAAGCATTCTTTCAAAATATTTGCTTGCAGATATGTTCTCAGCTGGATGGCACATCACATTCTAAGAACTCTTAAAATAAATGTCATTAATTAGAGCCATCCTGCAGGAAAGATAGTTTGATGCAAGGCCATGACTTAATATCTTCATTAGTAATATGGGTGAAGAATTAAAACTCTACTGCTCATGTTTCTAACTGATGCTATGCTGGGAATGATTAATAACAAATTCAAAAGCACTCCAAGAATTACATTAAGTGTCTTTTATAAATATATGTTTAATAGAATTAGGACTTAGGACCGAGAGTAAACATACCAAATCAAAATGGAGAAAGAATACATAGACAGCAGGAGGGTAAAATGATAAAAAATAAAAATAAATCTTTGGTAGCCATTGTCTATTCAACAGTTGTGATGCTTAACAAGAGGAAAAATAAGCTAGCACAGCATTTGGCTACATTAATAGAGATAATATATAAGAACAATTCTTCTACTTTATTTGGCATTGGACAGGCCCTAATTAGTGTACACTTTTTGATGGTTACATTTGAGAAGTTTGTTGGAAGCTTAAATAAGGACTAGAAGAACATAAAATGCTAGATTATTCCTATGAGAAAAAGGTAAAAGAAATTGAAATATTTACCCTGAAGAAGAGACAACTATAGGAAAAAAAATAAAATTAAAATAGTGTCTTCAAAGACTGTTGATAATTATAATAAATAGTTCTCTTGCCCTAGGTAGGATGGCTAATGTGAATAATAGGTAGAAATAATAGCAAGATAATTTAATTTGCTGTATGTAAGTCTTCATGATGATAAGGAAGTTTTTAAATACTGTAACATCTACTAAGAGGTCATAAGATTTTTTTCATCCCTGGACAGCTTTAGTAGGAAAAAATACACGTTTCTTACTTGGCTCTCCTACACTTTTTCACTGGTTTATTTTCTCAAATTTCCATGTAGGGATAGTGAAAGTGCAAGTGCTCGCCCTAGTAAAAGCGTTTTCTGAAGACTGTGTCTTCACACTTACACTATGTTTCTTTCCTAGGTCCACCATCTCTCCCAGCTGTGAGTAATAACTGCCTCACCATATACACAAGTGAAGTCTGAATGTGAGTGGTGAAGACAGATGTGTAGAGACAAGTGGTCACTGGAATTCCAAATGTCAGGCAGAATCATCTACTGTGGACAGGTTGCAGTGGAGATGCCAGTTTAAGACAGACTAGGAGAAAGGCCTGTGATTTAATCTCAAAAATTAGTCAATGAAAACCCAGTGTATCATAGAATATTGTCCAAGACTTCAACTCACTTACTTTGAACATGTCAATAGGAAGAAACAATCATCGAAGAAGGACATGATGTTTGGTAATAACATGGATGAATACAGGCAAGGGAAACCCTCAATGAGATGGACTGACATTATAGGTGCAACAGTGGACTCAAACATACCAATAATCTTGAAGATGGGGCAAGACTGAGTAACATTTCATTCTGTTATACATGTGATCACCGTGAGTTGGAAACAAATTGATGGCAACTAATAACAATAAGGAGTAAAACACTTTTCAAGAAGAACATATTTGGTAAAGGTTCTTTGTTGTTCAGACATAGATTTGGTACCGTTTCACAATTTCCAATCACATAAGAGCTGTTATGTGCAGGCTGCTCACAATTTTATATCCTGGTGTTCCTCTCCAATAAGTATAAGTGACTTGCTTTCAGGTTTTCACAAGCCTCGAAATACTAACTCCTGTACCTTGACAGCTCTAGCCTTTCTCTTACAATTTCTCTCATAAGTATCTGTCTGCCCTGCTCGGGTCCTGACTTCTTTTGAACCTGTTCCTTATAAGATCCCAAATGACTGTGCATATCTGTACTCTTCAGTGTCACCTATCTATGACGTTCATGCCTGTCAGTCACTGTCTAGGTTCTACTCATATCTACTCAGCACTTCCATTTCTATCTTACAGTCTTAAGAACAATCCAGAGGCTTTTAAATTAAACTCTGTACAAAATGTGCCCTGCAGTTCTACTGAATCTTCCTACTGCAAGCACCTAAGAGTTTGCCTCAGGGCAGCTTTCTTTGATCACAGAACTTGCTTGGCTCAGGCATGAGGCTCTGGTACCACCTCTGGGGATAGTCTTCAACCAAGGGTGAGCATGTGCATACATATAGAGAGATTCCATTCCCTTAAGGAAGATAATTCTGAGGAGTGTTCTACAATAATCACCAGAGTTCTCCAGCAGGTTCAAGCCCCATTTGGCCCAGTGAGTCAAAATCATGCCTTGTATTGGCTTTCTTTCCCTCCCTGTGTCACTTATCTGCCTCACTTACTCTTAAATAGAATACTGATCAAGCAAATACTTGTCTTGGACCTGCCTCCAGGTAAACCCACCCTAAGATAAGACATCTCCATCTCTTTTATATGTACATTTTCTGAAGTACTTCCATTGGTTTTTACGATATTTAAAACATACTTCACATTAACATTTGAATCTCAGGCGTTTGACTGCTAACCAGAAGGCTGCCAGTTCAAGGTTCAAACCCACCAGCCACTCCTTGGAAGGAATGTTGGGCAATCTACTTCCCTAGTGATACTACCTTGGAAACCCAAAGAGGGGTCGCTAGGAGTTGGATCCAACTCCACAGCAGTTGTGTTTGTTGTTGTTGTTGTGTGCTGTCAAGTCGGACCTGACTCATAGCGACCCCTCCTTGGGTTTCTGAGGCAGTATCACTACGGAAGTAGATTGCCCAACCTTCCTTCCGAGGAGTGGCTGGTGGGTTTGAACCACCAGCTTTCTGGTTAGCAGTCAAGTGCTTTAGGCACTACACAGTTGTGTTTATAAACAGATAACCCTGGTCTTCCTGTATCCAGTGTTCCTCACAGCAAACTATTCACTCACACCGTTAGGGAGGTGGCATATAGTCTTTCAAATAGAAAACTACTAGCTGGAATTTTTCAAGTGTTTCTGAACTTGTTCTTGGCAGATCCAAATGACATTTCTTGCAGAACCCTCTGTGATTTTATGATCTAGAATGAAAGGATTTGGCCATAGAGATAACTTGCTTTAAACATAATTTCCTACTAATTTCAGCACAGTGATGAGAAAGATTCTTTATTTTTGTTCAAGAAAAAACAATATATTACCGTAGGTATTTTTCTTTGGCTCATGCCATGTGACACCTCAACGAATCTTCTGCTATTATTTCTACATGTGCAGCAGTCAAATGTGCTCATTTCTGTAAGTTATAACCAAATACATAAGTAAAAGGGTTGTTTGTGACAGTAGATCTGGCTTTGGGGATACATATGAATTTCTAAAGGTCTAATGGATTTCAGAATTGACATTACAGCATAGAAATAAAACATCTCTTGCATTCATTCCAGACATTCCAGATCGTGAAGAGTGCTGCAATAAATCAATGGAAGGTAAAACAAACTTACCCGAATCATCATGACTGAACATCTGATATCATGAATTGTATCATAGATCTTCTTTGAGATGTCCACAAATTGATTGTCATCAAACATATCCATTGAGTTCTTGCTTAGAGCTTCCAAGGCAATATTCACTTGTGTTACAAACTCAGGAATTGCTGTTAAAATAAATTGGAAAGATGAGATTATCCCTTTTTGTATCTATGAATTTCTAGATTCTAAGAAATGAGAATTGTATCTTTTAACCAAATATTTGACTAATAGGTTTTAATTATTGTTATTATTATTATTATTATTTTAATCTAGATAGGATAAAATGTATCTTTGAAAAGTGAAACAAATCCAAGAAAATAAAAGACATTAAAAAAAAAAAAAAAAAACTTGTAAAAGATTATCTTTCTCCTTTAGATCATTTCGGCTTTTCCAAGGCTTAGATCATATAAGTATTTCTCATGCCATCCAATATAACTCAAAAAAGTTACAAATAAGAATTGCTGTTGTGTCAATTACTACTCACAGATATATTATAAGACAGTAAAATTACTCTATAGGGTTTCCAACACTGTATCATATTTTAACACAAATAACATGTGTGTTACATATTTTTTTCTACCCACACCCTTGTCTACAACATATTTTCATCAGCAAACTATGCTTTCTTTCTTTTTTTTTTTTAACAAGAAGATTGCCACATCTTTCTCCCACAAAGTGGCTGGTGGGTTCAAACTGATCTTTCATTTAGCGGCTGTTCACTTAACGACTACATCACCAAGCCATAAATAAACTACACTCATGGCTGTTGAGTCAGATCTGACTCATAGTGTCTCTATAGGACAGAGTAGAACTGCCATAAAAGGTGTCCAAGGCTGTAATCTTTATGAAAGCATATTGCCCCATCTGAGGCATAGCTGGTATATTCAAACCATTGACTTTTGGTTAGCAGCTGAGCACTTAACCACTGTACCACCAGGGATCCTTAAATCCTTAGAGTAGTGATGCTAAATCTAGAAGAAACTCATTGCCGTTGATTTTATTGTGACTCATAACAACCACATGTGTTACAGAATCAAACTGCTCCATAGAGTTTTATTGGCTTTAATCTTTGTGGAAGCAGACTGCCAAGGAGTTTTGGTGGCACAGTGCCTAAGGCATTTGACTGCTAATCAGAAGGCTAGTGGTTCAAACCCACTAGCTACTCCTCAGAAGAAAGATTGGGCAATCTATTTCCGTAGTGATATTGCCTTGGAAACCCAAGGAGGAGTCGCTGTGAGTTGGATCCAACTCCATGGCAGTAAGTTTGGTTTCTAGGAGCTCTGGTGGCCATAATGCCTAAGGCACTTGACTTCTAACTAGAAGGCTGGTGGTTCAAACCCACCACTCCTTGGAAGGCAGGTCGGGCAATCTACTTCAGTAGTGATACCGCCTTGGAAACCCAAGGAGGGGTGGCTACGAGTTGGAGTCAGATCCAACTCCACAGCAGTGAGTGAGGGAGTTCTTCTGTGGTTCTACTAAGTGAGTTCGGACTGCCAATCTTGGTTAGCAGCCAAGTACAAACTGTTTGCACCACCCTGGGACCCTAAACCTAGAGATAAAGTACAGATATGTTGATAAATATTAATTTTTCCTATCTGTATATATATGAATTCTGTCTGCAATGTTCCTGACATGGGAAATATTTGTTATATACATGTTGTTGTTTTTGTTAGGTACCAAGACCAAGAAATAGATTCTGACTTGCACAACAGAACAAAACATTGCCAAGTCCTATGACATCCTCATAATCATTGTTATGCTAGAGCCCATTGTTTTTGCCACAGTGTCAACTGTCTTGTTGAGGGCCTTCCCTTTTTCTTACTCACCCTTCTTAACTTACCAACCATGATATCTTTCTCTAGGGACAGATCCCTTCTAACAACGTGACCAAAGTTTAAGAGACGAAGTCTGGCCACTCTTGCTTCTAAGGAGCATTTTGGCTGCACTTGTTCCAAGACAGATTTTTTTCCTTCTTCTGTCAGTCTATAGTATTCTCAATATTCTTCACCAACACCACAATGCAAATGCATCAGTCCTTCTTTGGTCTTTCTTATCCATTGTCCAGCTTCCACATGCTTATGAGGCTATTGAATACAAAACTACTCAAATTTTATCAAATTCTTTCATTCCTCCATTTATTAAAATGTAACGTTTTGATAACTAAACTAAGGTACACCTGGCCCAAGCAAGCAATGGTCTTTTCAACCTCTTCATATACATGTGAAAGTGGGGCAATGAAAAAAGAAGACAGAAGAATTGATGTATTTAAATTGTGGTATTGGTGAAGAATATTAAATAGATCATGGACTACACGAAGAAAAAGTTAGTCTTAGAAATTATACAACAGAATGTTTCTTAGAAGAGAGGATAACAAGACCTTCATCTTCCTTACTTTGATGAGTTATTAGAAAAGACCAATAGCTGGAAAAAGACATCATGTTTGGTAAAGTAGAGAGTCAATGAATATGAGAGGAACCTTCAGTGATAGGGATTGATACCACAGTTGTAAGAATAGGATCAAATGTGTCAAAAATCATGGAATTGGTACAGACTCAGACAAGATTTTCTTCCATTGTCATGTCATCATGAGTCAGTGTTACAACAAACAACAGCTTACCCTACTTCTTAGCCATTAAAACGACTAGGATAGCCATTGTGCTCCATTTCTCGACCCATTATATAGGTACATTGTCCAATAGAGTAGCAAATAGCCACATACTGCTATTACAAATTCAATTTACATTCATTAAGTAGAATTAAAATTCAGTTCCATGGTCACACTTGTCACATTTCAAATGTCCAGTAGCCACATGAGGCTAATGGCTACTGATTTGAACAGTAAATATATAGAATATTCCCTCATCACAGAAAGTTCTATTAGATAACATCACTATGCACAGTGTGATTCTATTAAAGCACTGTCTTACTTTTGGTGGATGAGATAACAAAGTCAAAGAGAAAAACAACTTACACAGTTTTCTCTAAGAGAAATAGTCCCCAACTACATCTTCCATTGATATGGAGATAGCTCAGAAGGTAAAATCTCCAATCTGGTTCTGAATTGCAGAACTATGTATCATGCTGCCTATTGTAAAATTCTATCTAAATACTTAATAGCACCTCAAACACATGTTCTTGTTTTTGCTGTTGTTGTTAGATGCCATTGACTCAGCTCCAACTCAAAGCAACCATACGTACAACAGAATGGAACACTGCCCAGTGCTGTGCCATCCTCACAATCCTTGCTCTGCTCGAGACCATCGTTGTAGTCACTGTGTCAATCCATTTCATTGAGAGTCTTCTCCTTTTTTGTTGACCCTCTACTTTACCAAGTATGATATTCTTCTTCAGGGACTGGTCCCTTTTAACATTGTGACCAAAGCAAATGACACAAAATCTGGCCATTCTTCCTTCTAAGAAGCAAAGCATTTGTTTGTTCTGGCTGTCCTTGGTATTTTCAATATTCCTTGCTAACAAAGGCATCAACTCTTCTTCAGTCTTCATTATTCATTGTTCAGCTTTCACATGTGCATGAGGTAAATGAAAATGCCATGACTTGGGTGGGGCACACCATGATCTTCAAAGTAACATCTTTACTCCTTCACATTTTAAGAGGTCTTTTGCAGCACATTTGCCTAGTATTGTACAATGTCTGATTTCTTGACTGTTGCTTCCATGGATGTTGATTCTGGATCCAAGTAAAATGAAACCCCTAACAACTTCAATCTTCTCTCCATTTATTGTGATGTTGTCTATTAATCCATTTGTGAGGATTTTTGTTTTCTTTATACTGAGGTACCACACTGAAGACTGTAATCTTTGATCTTCATCAGTAAGTGCTTCAAATCATTTTCACTTTCAGCAAACAAAATTGTGTCATCTGCATATCGCAAGTTGTTAATGACTCTTCCTCCAATACTGATCCATGTTCTTCTTCATATAGCCCAGTCTCTCAGATAACTTGCTCAGCATACAGATTGAATAAGTATGGTGAAAGGATACAACCCTGACACACACACTTCCTGATTTTAAACTATGCAGTATTCCCTCATTCTGTTCAAACAACAGCTTCTTGGTCTATGTACCGGTTCATCATGAGGACAATTAAGTGTTTTGGAATTCCCATTGGTTGTAATGTTATCCATAATTTGTCATGATCCACACAGTTGAATGCATTTGCATTGTCAGTAAAACCCAAGTAAACATCATTCTGGTATTCTTTGCTTTCAGCCAAGATGTATCTGACATCAGCAATGATATCCCTCACTCTAAATCCTCTTCTGAATCCAGCCTGAAACTTCTTGAAGTTCTCTGTCAATACATTGCTGCAACCATTTTTTTTAATTATCTTCATTAAATTTTACTTGAGTATGAAATTAATGATATTGTTAAATAATTTCCACTTTCTATTGGATTACCTTTCTTTGAAATGGACACAAATAAGGATTTCTTCCAGTCAGTGGGCTAGGCACCTATCTTCCAAATTTCTTAGCATAGATGAATGAGCACCTCTAGCACTGCATTCATTTTTTGAAATATCTCTTAGGTATTCCTTCAATTCCTGGAGCCTTGTTTTTGTCAGTTCCTTCAGTGCAGCTTGGATTTCATCCTTCAGTGCCATCAGGTCTTGATCATATGCTACCTCCTGAAATGGTTGAATGATGACTAATTCTTTTTGGTACAATGATTCTTTGTATTCCGTCCATCTTCTTTTGATGTTTCCTGCATTGTTCAATAGTTTGCCCACTGAATCCTTCAGTATTGTAACTTGAGGCTTGAATATTTTTTCTGTTCTTTCAGCTTGAGAAATGCTGAGTTTGCTCTTTCACTTTTGGTTTTCTAAGTCTTTGCAAATTTCATTGTACTTTATTTTGTCTTCTGAGCTGCCATTTGAAATCTGTTCAACTTTTTACTTCATCATTTCTTCCATCCACTGTACTTATTTTACATCCAAAAGCAAGTTTCAGTCTTTTCTGACATCCATTATGGTGTTTCTCTTCTTTTCTGTCCTTTTAATGACGTCTTTTTCCTTCAATATGATGTCCTTGATGGCATCCAACAGCTTATCTGGTCTTTGGTCATTAGTGTTCATTGTATCAAATCTATTCTTGAAATGGTCTAAACA